TGTACACTGATCAGTACTTTCCCCTTCATTTTGCAAAGAGCTAATGCTCCACTTATATTACCATCTCTAGTCATATCAAGGATAGATTTGCTCCACTTGTATTACCACCTCTAGTCATATCAAGGATAGAGTGCCACCTGTAGAAGTTTGCATTCTCACAGGACGATAGAATTGTTTTTAGAAAGAGTATACAAGGTCACTTACAATATACCTCTCAAATGGTATTGCAGCCAATAAACTGTTTAAATACTTGCAGTGACCAAGAAAATCACTGCTTTCTGAAACAGCCCTTGATGTCTTCTAGCTTTTCAGCAACATTTTCTTTTGTTTATTGTTGTAGTTTAAGTGAAAGTTTACATTTCAAGTTAGTCTCTTATACAAAAATTTATACACACATTGTTATGTGACCGTAATTGCTCTCCCTATACTGTGACAGCACACTCCTCCGTTCCGCCCCTAATTCCCCATGTCCCCATGTCCGTTCAGCCAGCTCCTAACCCTGCCTTCTCATCTCACCTGCCCCTTTAGTCTCATGTATCTACTTGATCAGCAACATTTCTTAAGATCACATTCAGGAACAGCAACTGATCTATATACACCAATATCCACAACATGCCAGGCTACATGGATGGAATCATTGTCACATTCAAGAAACTTAACATTGTTACTTATTATCTAATATGCAGCTCCCATGAAAATTTTCCCAACTGTCCCCAAAATGTCCTTTATAGCTCTCTCTCTCTTTTTTTTTTTTTTAAGTCCAGGATTCGATCAATGATCACATGCTGCATTTGGTTGTCATTATCTCTTCAGTCACCTTTAATCTAGATCAGTCCCCCCAACTTTTTGCTCTGTTTTGTTTCTTTCATAACATTGAAATTTTTAAACATCCCAGGCCAGCTGTTTTTCATTATGTACCACAGTCTGGACTTGTGTGATTGTTTCCTCATGATTAGACTCAGGTTAACTATTTCAGGCAAGAATGTATATTGGTGATGTTGCCTACTTTCCATTACATGAGATTGTCTTGTTACACTAAGTTATCTCTTTCCTCATTTTGTCAGTATGCGTACTAAGCAAGCATTACTTAGTAAATACAATGTTAACACAATAAATAAATATAACCTTAAAAATATCTATCATCAGCTGATCTTTGACAAGGATGCTCAGTCCATTCGATGGGGAAAGAAGAGTCTCCTCAATAAATAGTGCTGAGAAAATTAGATTTCCACATGCAGAAAAATGAAACAGGATCCATGCCTCACACCACATACAAAACAAATTCAAAATGGATTAAGGACCTAAATATGCAAACTAAAACCATAAAATTCTTAGAAGAGAAAGCAGGGAAGACGCTGCCAGACCTAGCTTTTAACAATAGGTTACCTAATATAATAACAAAAGCACAAACAGCAAAGGACAAAATAAATAACTGGGACCTCAAAAAATTCAAAACTTTTGTTCATCAAAAGACTTTACTAAAAAAGCGTAACCTCATAAGGGTGGGTCCTGCTGGGCAAGACCCCTCAAGTCAGTTGAGAGACACCAGGCCTTTGAGAAAGAGAAAGTGGACTTTATTGCAAGCCAGTCAAGAAAGAGCTTGGAGAAAACCAAACCTGTTGCCGTTGAATCAACTCGATTCCAACTCATAGCAACCCTGTAGGACAGAGCAGAACTGCCCCAGGATTTCCAAGGAGTGGCTGGTGAATTTGAACTGCTGACCTTTTGGTTACCCGTCTGAGCTCTTAACCACTTCTCCACCAGGGCTCCATAAAGAGCTTGGAGACTAAGTTTCAAATCAAGCTCCCTGAGGTTGGGGATTTTAGGGCATAGGGTTTGGGATAGGGAACTTATGCATAATTTATGAAGTTTCTGGGAATAGGTGGGCAATTTCAGGAACTAATTAACATGTATGGGGGTGTAATGGGGGATGCAATATGGCGGCTGGGGGCACGTGTTTTTTAGGGGGTATGACGCATGAAGTTTATCTGAGGACAGCTTTGTGGCTTATTGTTCACGTCTGAATGGGGGGTGGCAGTGGGTGAAGCGGCCTTGAGCAGAGGAGCAGTAAGATGACCTTGGGTTGTTAACACAGACTGCCTTATCAAGAACTCACAGAGCCTGGGTGTGATGGGAGGAGGGGGAACAGTTCAACCCTGTTGGTCACAAAAGTGAAAAGACAAGCTACCAACTGGGAGAATATCTTCAGAAACTATTTATCTGACGAGAATCTAATAACCAAAATATATATAAAACTTTGGCAACTTAACAACAAAAAGACAAATAACCCAATCATAAAATGGGCAAAGGACTTGAATAAACATTTCACCAAAAAAGACATTCAAATGGCCACCAAACACATGAAAAGATGCTCAGTGTCATCAGCCATCAGAGAAATGCAAATTAAAACCACAATGGGATACCACTTCACTCCCACTAGTATAGGAAGATTTTAAAAAAAAAAACAAAAACAGAAAAAACAAATGCTGGCTAGGCTGTGGGAAAATCAGAACACTTACCTACTGCTGGTGGGAATGCAAAATGTTACAGCCGTCATGGAAAATAGTGTAGCAGTTCCTCAAAAACTAAAACAGAACTAACATATGGCCCAGCACTTCCACTTCTAGGTGTATTTCCACTCCAAAAGACTTGAAAGCAGAAACTGAAACAGAAACTTGTACACCAATGTTCACTGCAGCACTATGCACAATAGCCAAAAGGTGGAAACAACCTAAATGCCTATCAACAGAAAAATGGATAAACGAAATGTGGTACATACATACAACGGAATGCTACTCAGCCAGCAGGAGAAATGAAATCTTGATACATGCTTCAATATGGATGGGGAGGAGGAAACGGGGGAGAGGGGTTAATAGTGATAGAAATACTGCATTAATTAAGGGTAGGGTTGCACAGCTGATTATTATAATTGCTGTCAATAAGTTGTACACCTGTAAAAAGTTAAACTGGCAAAAGTTCTGCAAAAGATATATTTATAACCATTGACAAAAAAAGAAAGAATAGCTGCTTAGGCTGATTATGTACAACCAAAAACCTCATGGGATTTGGTTTCTTGGTTTGGAGGGTTAGGGTCATGGTTTTGTGGGATATCCCAGTTAACTGACCTAAAAACATATTTAGTGCCTCTGTTCTGCCTCCTAGTTCAATGCATAGTGCCTAGGGTCTTAAGAGCTTGCAAGCAGCCATTCAAGGCACAACAATTGGTTTCTATACACCTGGAAAAACAGAGAAAGAAGGAGAGTCAGGAATAGAGGAGGAAATGGAATGTGTGGCTAATTGCCTCCATGAACAACTGCCTCCTTTGCCATGAGACCAGAAGAACTGGATGGTGCCCGGCTACCATTACTGAACATTTTGATCAAGGATTCCATAGAAGAATACTGATCGAAAGGGAGAAAATGCAGAACAGAATTTCAAATACTCGTAGACTCTAGACTTACTGGAGCCATGAAGGTTGGATGAACCCCTGAAATTATTGCCCTGAGATAGTCTTTAAACCTTAAACCAAAAATATCCCCTGAAGTCTTCCTAAAACCAAATAGTAGTTTAGCTTAACTAGTAAAAAAAGTCTGCCTTGAGCATTACGCTCTTTTAAGAACTATCTATATGGGATCAAATTGACAACAGCAACTTGAAAGATTAGATAGGAACCTTAGGAGGCAGTGAATTTATGTTAATAGGGAAGGAACAACTCAGAAAAGGAGGGTAAGAAGGGTTACACAATTCAAAGAACGTAATCAGTGTCACTAAATGGTACATGTAGAAACTGTTGAACTGGCGTATGTTTTGCTGTG